GTGGTGTTGGCACATTGTTATTTATTATTTAATTGTATTCAAGCCTGTTAACTTAAAAAAAAAATCTTGACAAGCATATGTGGCACTTAAATAGGATGACATCTAGCATGATGACATATTTAATGTTAGCTTATTTGTTTGGTCATCTAACACGTTTAAATTTTTAAGTTTAGTAGTTTGCTATGTATATTATTATATTTTATTATTTTAAATCTTTGCTCACTCGCATCTATTTTCTCCCACACAGGTTTACAGCTCAACCTCTAAAGTCCCATATCTGGCTGAGGAGACTGTGGATCATCCAGGTACTATGCCTTTAGATGCCTATACACATTAAAATGATGTACAGTAAAATTACTAGTAATTTTAACTACTAATTATTTAGTAAATTACTAATTGTCATATCATGTTATTTAGAACATCACCAGTGGAAAAAAGGTGTGAATGCATCCTCAAAGCCCCTAAGTGAGGGAGTACATGGTAAGCTATTTTATTTTTTTAAACATTTTGTATTTTCCTCTTAAACCAATTCCTCCTTTCTCCTTTGATCTGTTGGTAAATTTAATTTTTTTTACCTGACTTTTTTAGGATGCTGGGCATGATGAAGCGCAAACCTTGATGTGCAACACCACCTTATGAATCTACACTAGTTACATTAACATTTAGCAGACTCTTTTGTCTAAAGTGACTTACAATTGAGGACACATTCAGCAAATCAACAAGAAAAGGCGATACACCCAAGATGTGCTAATTATACAAAAAAATGTAAGAATTAAGAATGCTTCTTAATGCGACTTGCGCGCCCAGTCGTCCAGCTAATCTAAGTTTTTGCCTTCTCCTCGGAAGGACCCCCGTCTAACGCCGTAGTCCGAAGGGCGCTGAATAGAACGCACTCCCGTGGCCCCTGTGGCAGCGTTAGAAGCTTCACAAAGGGCCGCACGTTGTTGCGGTGCCGGGAGTGGTTCATAAGCCTTCCGAAGGTTTCCATGCCCGGGTGACAGGGGCAGGGCCAGGACTGGGCATCCAGGCAAAGGGTCCTCCCACCAAGCCCTTTAAAGAAATACATGTAGGAGGAGGAGACACGGGGGAGGGCCTCCCGTCTCCTTAAGCCCTCCTCGTGCGACAACTCCTCCCCATGGTAATCACAAATAATTTCTCCTTTTTTAAAGAGCATGGTGGTGACGACTCCTCCGCCTTTGTCCCCAACGGTCTGGATCTCCAGTCCTTTCCAAGACTGCTGGACCACCGACATGACCAGCTGCTGGTCACTGGTGACGGCGGACAGCGCCCTCGAGAGCTCCCACTCTGCCAGGACGCCGTCCACCGTCGGCACGCCGGTGGTCCATGCAGTCTCGGCCCTAATGGCACTCTGCACCCGGGCCTGGGATGGCTTCCGGCCCTTCCGGTCGCTGCACCGCTCAAGGAGATGGCGCGTCCGGATTCCGAGCTGCTCCCCCCTCCAGTGATGGTAGTAGCCACGGTCGGTGAACCCGATCGCGGCTGCCTCCGCCCTACTGGGGGGCTTCCCACCCAAGCCTACCGGAAACTTGTCCTGAAAAGCCCCCCAATAACGAGGCGGAGGCACTGGAGGGGGCTGCAGGCCAGAGGTGGACGGCCTCTCCTCGCCAGGTGGAGCAGGCGGCTGAGACAGTGCAGCTGGAGGAGAAGCCGAAGCTGGAGCCGGAGGAGAAGACATAGACGCGGGGGTAGCGGGCGGCACGGGCTGCCTCTTGACGTACTTTGCTTTCAGGACGTCCTGGCTGGGTTAGTGAGGGGGAGTCCTGACGCTCCCAGGAAGAAGCATCCCTTTTCCTCTGCCCCCGAAGCCCGAGCCCTAAGGCAGAGCGGCCGGATGTGCCTGTAATAGCATTCCAGCCACTCCTTCTCTTTCCGGCTCAGGCTCACGGTTTTCCCGTGAAGCGTCAGGATTACAGCCTCTCCCTCTGGCCGCCTGCCCAGCCACTCCCGCACCCTAAGCTCCATGACGCTTCCAGGACCCAGACGGTGTAGCCACATTAGAGTGGCAACGCAGAAGCTGCGAAAATCCGTCTGGGTCCTGGGAGGCAGCTCGCACCGCTGGCCGAGGCGAAGGGAGACCTCAGCCATATCCGCCTCCATAGTGGACGGACATGGACTTTTGCTGCCGCTGCTGAGTGTAATATGCTGCTCCGCGACGAGGAAGACAAGGCCCCGCACCTCCGCCAGGCCTACCACCCTCCCCTCTGTGACAAACCTGGCGCGCGACTCCAAGGCACGAGCCACCTCCTCCAGGACCAGGGCCTCCTCAGCGCCGCTCATGCAGACCTGCCTCAAGTGCCCTGAGAGTTCCTTCTGAACCGTCAGGCACCCGAGGCAGTGTACAGCAACGCTATGGTCAGTGTTGTCCATCGTCGTTTCGAAATAGTTACCTCAGGTCGACACGGTGGGTGGAGTCGTAAGCATATTTTTTAAATCATTTATTGTTTTCAATTTATTTCATACTTTGATTACTATTATTTTATTAGTATTAATGTTTTAACTTATTGTAATAAGTGAAGATACAGATAAAGACAGTATTTGGATTTTGACAATCATTTTATTGCTGGAAAATGTGTAAATCTGTAAAAATGCTATTGAATAAACTCAATGAAACGGAAAATGTTTTTTTATTTGGTTAAACATAACAATATCAATTTTAGAATAATTGAACCTAAATAACTACATTGATTAAAGCTAAATTATAAATGTTACGTTGATTGAACTAAACAACATTACATTACCTTTATGTAACTAACTTAAGTTCACTAAAATTAATATTCTTTCTTAAAGGTAACTTAACTCGGTTACGTGGAACCAGTGGACAAAAAAAAGTTAATTAACGCCAACATATCATTTTTTTGAGTGTACATTGTATGCAAGTTAATTGAGCAAAGTTGGCATAGTTCACCAAAAAAAAGCTTTTATTTACTCATCCTGAGGTTATATTTTTTTTATATTCATTACATGATGGTGACTCATGATGTACAATCACTGGGAAACTTTTTTACTCTCAAATACTGGTAGACTTAATAATTTTATGATCAATGTTTTTTTTTTTTTTTTTTTTTTTAAGTTAATTTCAATTGAAGAAAAAAAACCTACAGTACTATACATCTTGGACGGCCTGAAGTTAATCAACAGCCAGGGATGGGCATAAGTACATTGTTATTTTTTATATTTTTATTCCCCTATTTTATGGGAATTAAATATGTTTATTTTAAGTGTATCAAAAATACAGCCACCGTAACATGTATCAAAATAAAGTACTGTATTTTTTTATTTAAAAAAATACTACAAAAAACTTTTAAAATGGAGCATGACATTTCTTTATAATCCTTTCATCAATAGGCCTACTGGATCAGTCCCTTCACCATTAAATTGGCTTGGTAAAGTAAACAATTTTTGATAGCAACAACTTTTCTCTGCCACTTTTGGTTGTGGCATAAAGGTTGGTAAGTTGGACTTGTAACCCAAAGATAAATTGTGTTCTTTGAGATACAAATTACATTCCATCCATTATTTGTAAAGTATACTTATTCTCCCAAAATTATTTTAGTTCTTATTTAACTGAGTCTCAGATGACCCTCTTAAAAACACCAGCACACCATATTTAGGCGTTTTACATTTCTAAAGTTTCTTTGCATTTCCACCTGCAGCACTGAGATTGATGATGTTCTGAAGCTCCTCATCTTGTTCTTCATGACTGATATTTTATTCTTTCTCATTTCTTAGGAAAAGGTGCTAAATTGTACACTATAGAGACATTATATAATTCTGGTCTTAGCATTACTCACTATACTAGCTTTAATGGTTGTTGACTTGCTTCTGAATATACCCTCACCATTTGTACTGTATGTTGCTTTCTTTAAGCGTAATTTCATTTTCTGTTCTGATCTCAGGCCTATTTTAAAGATGTCATCATGTACCGTAGACTTCTTGCATAGTATTTTACAGAAACTACAAAAATATAACATAGTAAAGTATTTTGATACAAAATATGAACCCGTTTTCATCAAATCTATCAAATACAAATTTCAAAATACTATTTGACATTGTCATGAGACATTGTCTTATACAATTCAAAATTATACATAGGCTTCACTTTTCAAAAGTAAAGATCCACAACATTTTCCCAAACGCCTTATCCAACTGTGATAAATGTCAGTCCCTTAATGCAACACTTCTCCATTCTTTTTTTTCTTGCCTGAAGGTCACAAGCTACTGGTCTGATGTATCTAATGTATTGTCAAGAATTTTTAAGACTACACTGTTACCTGAACCATTGTTGATTATTCCTAACACATCAGAGTTATTTAGAAAATTTACTTCAGCCCAACAGCGGTTCATTTCCTACTCTCTTATTACTGCAAAAAAAATTACTTTTGATGTCATGGAAAGGACCAACGATGCCTACCGACAAAATGTGGCTTCGAGATCTCTAATACTTTTATACTTAGAGGGAATTAGATATCTGTTGAAGAAAAATCTCTCAGGTTTTTATAATATTTGGTAACCCTTCATTGACTTCTTACAATCAGTATCTGTATAAACACGTATTTTCTTCCATTTTTTTCATACATATATATATAAACTCTCACTGTACTTCTTGCTAAAAAATTGTATTCTACTTCCACATTGTTTGTCTTTTCTGCTTTGTTTTGTATGTATATTTACACAAAAAAATTTTAGCCTTTTTTATATTTTTGATTGAAATTGTATAATTTATATATGCTCAATAAAAAAAAAAATAAATAAATACTGCCCATCCCTGTCAACAGCAAATGTAATTTTCTTTTTAATGTAATTTTTATATAATCAGCAATTGTAAAATACGGCTGTTCTGACTGCATTTCACATAGAAGTGATTGTATTTAAATGTAAATCAACAATGTACCAATGTTTTTTCCACTCATGAGAACAAGGAAATGACGAAGGAATTTAAACGTGTTAAGCTGGTTTTATTTATTTTTATTTTTTTTTGAGTCAGCCATTTGACAAGAACGCTAAATATCAAACCCTGGAAATCTTTCCGGAGATCAGGTAAAAATATGTGTTGTTTTAATTGATAAGCTGCTGTAAACTGTTCCTGTTTGACACATGGAAAAATGTGTTGACTTTAAACTGTTATTAGTACAGTGTTAGAGAGCATGTTAGCTTTTTAACATTAACAACATGATGTATTTTAACTTAATGCAATGCTGTTATCTTTGTGTGTCACTGGCAAATTCATGTTGTTAGCTTTATAATATAAGGGTTTGTTAGTTTAATGTCTTTGTTGTTTTTTTTTGGACTCCTGGTCAACCTCATTCCCTCAAACCCTCTCTACCCCACATTGTTTAGTTTTATCATTGTTTTTTTTTAATCATATGCAGCATGACATGACAACATTTGGGTGAGCCACATACTTGGCATTTGTTCTTAAGAAATATGCCGTAAGTGACTGACATCATTGAAAACATGTCCCGTCAAGGTACAATTAACTACAAATTATTGGTTCATTGCACCTACATTTGGATCGAAAATGCTATAACTGAAGACATTGTACTCCTTTATCTTAAATCACTTGATAAAAAAGTTATGATTTAACAACAAATATCATCTTTCTTTGTTTAGTATATCAGAATGAATCGGGATAACATGTGGTACTCTTAATTTTACTCTTTATTTTTCAGATACAGGACTAACATTAAAATCCTTAGTAGGGATCCTCATGGCAGTTCTGCTGACTCATTGTGTTCTTCCAATAAGTACAGATTTGAAGGTAGGAGCGCTTATTATGTGTATGCTTATTTTTTAACAGTTTTTTTAACAGTTTAAGTCAGAATTATAAGCCGCCCTTTTAATTTTATTTTTTATATATATTTCCCAAATGATGTTTAACAGAGCAAGGACATTTTCACAGTATGTCTGATAATATTTTTCTTCTAGAAAAAGTCTTATTTGTTTTATTTTGGCTGGTATAAAAGCAGTTTTTAATAAAAATAAAAAAAAGGTCAAAATTATTAGCCCCCTTTAAGCTATATTTTTTCGATATTCTACAAAACGAACTATTGATATACAATAACTTGCCTAATTACCCTAACCTGCCTAGTTAATCTAATTAACCTAATTAAGCCTTTAAATGTCACTTTAAGCTGTATAGAATGTTCTTAGAAATATCTAGTCAAATATTATTTACTGTCATCATGGCAAAGATAAAATAAATCAGTTATTAGAGTTATTAAAACTGTTATGTTTAGAAATGTGTTGAAAAAAAATCTGCTCTCTGTTAAACAAAAATTGGTGAAGAAATAAACAGGGGGGCTAAAAATTCAGGAGGCGAATAATTGTGACTTGTATGTAACTGTATTTAGTCAATGAGAAACTTTTTTTACTACTACTACTTGCTATGTTTAAGGACTGACTGTAATGTTATTATTTGAGTTCAGTTCGAGGAAGTTATTTCGAAGTAACATCAAGAAATATTTTTGGCATAATTTTTATTATGCAATCGAGACAGCTGTCAAAGTTATCAAAAGATAAATGTAACATTGTCAATCAAATACTTTCACACATTTAGCCTTGGTTATGAATGCAATCTTAAAACTTAAAAACAATGATCATATTGTGTTGAAATTAAATTTGATGAAATCTTATAGATAATCTTTAAATACCTGACATATTTATTCATATGCATAGAGTTGAAGTCAGAATTAATAACGTGTTGAAAACCCATGATAATTTTTTCCCCAATTTCTGTTTAAAGGAGAGCAGATTTTTTTCAACACATTTCTAAGTATAAAAGTTTTAATAACTAATTTCTAAAAACTGATTTATTTTATCTTTGTCATGGTGACAGTAAATAATATTTACCTAGATATTTTTAAGACACTTCTATACAGCTTAGTGACATTTAAAGGCTTAACTAGGTTATTTAGGTCAACTAGGCAGGTTAGGGTAATTAGGCAAGTTATTGTATAACGATGGTTTGTTCTGTAGACTATCGAAAAATATAGCTTAAAGGGGCTAATAATATTGACATTAAAATGTTTTTTAAAAATTAAAAACTGCTTTTGTTCTAGCCGAAATACAACAAATAAGACTTTCTCCAGAAGAAAAAAATATGATCAGATATACTTTGAAAATGTCCTTGCTCTGTTAAACATCGTTTGGGAAATATTTTAAAAAGTAAAAAAAAAATCAAAGGGTGGCTAAAAATTCTAACTGCAACTGTATATTTGCAATTTAATCCAAATTAAGTGCAGTAACAATACCAAAATTTAAAAGCCATCAAAAAAAGGCCTTTTCCTATCATGACGAGAGATTTCTGTGTAGCCACTATAACCATAGGTCATTTAGCATTTTATTAACATTTTTATACATATTATATTATTATGTTTTATTATATATTATTATGTTATGAAACAGTGTCTCTTCTTTAATTAAAGATGATTCTGTTAGTAATAACAATGATAAACTTTATTTTCATTGTGGCTTTAAGTTCTTAAAGTGCTTTAAAATAATAAAATTAAACAAGATAATGCAAAAAATAAAGAGCAAATCCATTTATCAGAAAGGTATTCAGATTCAAAATGCCAATAAAGCTATTTATGAAGTAATTGAACAATGCATAAGCAAATGCAGAGCGTATTTGCTTAGATATTTTTGGTCCTTAATATTTTGCTTCATTTTGAAAGCAACTGAACACTCTTATATCAGTATTTACAGTATTTGCATTTACTTTGAAATCTTCTTCTTGTTACAGATTGATGACAGTCACACAAGTCTGTCTAAATACCTGAAAGATTCTGTAAAAGTCACTAACCTCAGGTGAATATTATATCTCATTTGTTCCTTTAAATCTTTATCTAGTGCAACAACAACAGCAGCATCTTCTTGTTACTTTGTGTGTTGCTCCACAGGCCAAACAGTGCCAGTGGTACCATCAGAGAGGATTTTGCATTAGCAGACACAGAGGCTTTCCAGACTCTTTCAAAAGCAGGAATCCCTGCATCTATCAATGCTTTTTCTGAAACCGGTAAGTAACTATTTAAAATTTCTACATTTTTTCCTTTGGTGTTTACTCCTCATGAGCTGTTCTGTTGTTTTGAGAGGCCCAATGTATATGTTTTAATTACTGTATAAGAAAGTTAAATCAAGCTTCTGTGAAGTAAGTACGTACGAATACTCAGTTTACTACAGTTGATTAGTTTTTCCTTAGGTATTGTGTTTTTAAATGAGTTTTTTCTTAGTGTTGTATGTTGATTTTTTTATTTTTATTTTATTCATTTTATTTTTGGAATTGAATAAGTCCTATGATTCCAGTGCAATCAAATGATGTCAAATTACATCTTCTCTCCGTTAAACAGAAAGTTTGGAAAAAATAAACGGGGGCTAATAATTCAGATGGGTTAATACTTCTGACTTCAGCTGTACATATACTGTTGTTGTGTTATTTTATTCATTGCACAGAGAAATTTAACTGATTTTCATTTTCTGAAATTCATTTTTTTCTAACTGCAGAATTTAGCTGTAAAAATGAAACACTTGGACTTGGAAATGAAAATGAATTTGTAACTGGACCATGTGAAACAAACTGGAATGGCAATATAATTTATCAATGTACATCAGGTAAATGGACAGTGTTCAGCAGGAAGTGTGTACTTCAAATTATTAGCGACCTTAAAAGGAAAGTTGAGGTGAGCTACATTGACAGTCTGTGTTCTGAATACTGCCCAACAATAATCTGCGTATATATAATTATTATTATTATTATTAGTAATATTTATCTTTTATTTTAAAAACTTTCTTTTAAGGTATTGATTGTAGAGCAAATACCGGAGTTTATGGCTCAGCTCTGTATTGCTACAATGAACAATTCACAACAGATAACAGATTCTCCTCTAACTGTCCAAACAACTGTGGAGATACTTGTGATCATCGCTAGTGTCTCACAAAACATTATCATCAGTGAGTCTGTCATGGAGGTATGAATATTTAAGTATTTCTCTTACAACCTATCTTTTTGGTAACACTTTACTTGAAAGGGGACACTTGTTTATAAGACAATAGTTGTGACAGCTTTATAATCATGATATACTGTAGCACATGTGATGTGTATGAAGGAGCTGTTATGCAAGCTTAGGACAACTGTCTTTATATGTAATAAGCTCAGTTACTACATTTAAAATTCAAATGCAAGAAATGTCTTTGTCAATATGACAACTTGAAATTATCAAGACAACATAACAAATCTAGTATAAGCATGCAAGCTTTTCGTGAGACCTTTATAATTGTTATAAATATTTTTCTGATTCCTTCTTTAATGAAAAAAACTGAATTTGTCATAAAATAAGTGCCAAAACTCTTTCACTTTCTTCAACGATATCATTAATATTTAATGACTTAATTACATTTTAATGACAAATTAATGTCTTACACTACAAAAACTGCTTTTCTTACTTCGATGTTTTGTCGTGTCTGGTCCAAATATCTAAAAATTCTTAAATAATTTTAAAAAAAAGTGTCTAGAGAAGCATAACATATTGTCTTGTTTTAAGACATAATTGACCAAAATGAAGTGAGTTTTTTCTTAAAACAAGCAAAATAATCTGCCACAGAGATAAACAAAATAATCTTAATTTAAAAGGAAAAACAAGATTATTTTGCTTGTTTTAAGGAAAAACTCACTTAATATTGGCATATTATTTTAGTAAGAAAAGCATTTTCTGTAGTGTACAACTATAATGAGGTGTTAAAAAATTCATGACAATTTTACTGCCCTAATGACAGTCATGTTTAAGACAGATACATGAGAAGTTGTAACCTTGATAATGTCAAATCATCATGATAAAGATGAAGACATGCAATCTATGTGTTATGTGAAGTTGTCATAACTAAGTTATCTCAAACAATGTCAGCGTTGCATTTAAAGGACAACAGAGCAAATTAGCAAAAATAAAAAATAGCAAAGTTGTCATAAATATGCATAAATCTCCTTCATATTCATGACACGTGTCATCCTGATTATAAAGGTCTCTCTACGATCTTATGAATGCCCCCTTCAAGTAAAGGGTTACATTATTGGGTACATTATTTAATCAAGATTTTCCCATTACATTTTTTTTTACTAAACATGTTTTTCTGTTTAATCTCCAGGATTTCCTTAAAACAGTTGACATCCTTGTTTCAAATGAAGCCACTGCATCATGGCAAAGTTTGACAAAAGAAAACCCCAGCATTTCTCTTCTGAGTGCTGTTGAGGATATAAGTAATCGTCTCACAGAGGGCAGTTTTACCATTAATCAAAAATACATTGAATTGAATAGAACTGTAATTAATAACTCTTACACTGGGAAATCAAACCTGCCAAACTCAGCCACTGAGATTCTAATACCGCAGATTCTTAATCCGACCTCCTTAACCATCATAATCTTCACAACACTTAACAATATCTTACCTACACAAGATAGTGCTAATGGCATTGTGAAACCAGATATGCGCATCAATGGAGACCTGGTTGTTGTTAAGGCTAATCAAACACTTCACAGCATGTCTTTTGTGTTTGACACCACTGATCAGTCGTTAGGAAATCCTCAGTGTGTCTTTTGGAACTTTAACCTCAGCGCATGGGATTCCACTGGATGTGAAGTAAAGCCTGGGAGGAATGAAACTGGAATAATTACATGTGAATGCAACCACACAGCCTCTTTTTCAATCCTAATGTCACCATTTTCCATTGATCACATAGCCTTTGCATATGTAACCTACATAGGTGTAGGTATTTCAGTGGCTTGTTTGATTTTGTGCCTCATTATTGAAGCTATCGTATGGAAGGCAGTGAGAAGAAATGACACCTCCTACATGCGACATGTCTCCATAGTAAACATTGCCATCTCCCTGCTGATCGCAGATGTCTGTTTTATCATTGGAGCTGCAATCTTAGATGAAGAGCAGCTAACCCCTGCGGATCGCTGCAGTTCAGTTGTTTTCTTCATGCACTTTTTTTACCTGGCTCTTTTCTTCTGGATGTTAATTTCAGCGCTGTTGCTCTTTTACCGCGTGGTCATGGTTTTGTCCCAGATGTCAAGAGCCAAAATGATGGTCATTTCCTTCTTACTTGGTTATGGTGCACCCTTGCTCATATCAGTCATCACTGTTGCGTCAACAGTTGGACCTCAGATGTATGTTTCCAAACAAGCATGCTGGCTGAACTGGAATGAATCTAGGAATCTGCTGGCATTTGTGATTCCAGCTCTCACTATAGTAGCTATAAATCTCGTGGTTTTTATTGTGGTTCTGTACAAGATATTTAAAAGAAGAGCTGGTGCTGCAACTCAACCAGATTGGAAAAATGCCTTGGTGGTTGCCAGATGTGTAGCTTTTTTTACTCCTGCCTTAGCGTGTGGAATCACATGGGGATTTGGAATTGGTACCACAGTGTCAGCTGGCCTGTTTGTTCATGTGGTGTTTGCACTCTTCAATTCGCTGCAGGTATCACTTTTTGTCTTTGTTTTTTTGACTTCAGATTAACTTTATGTTTTTGTGCTTGATAAGAATGCAAACTTTAATTACTAAAATGTGAATGATGCATTAATTATTATAATCTATATTATAAGAGAATATTTTAACAAATTTACTTACAATATATTAAATTATATATATATATATAAATATATATATATATTTCTCATATAATTTATAACAGGGATTCTTCATATTGGTGTTTGGGACTCTTTTAGACTCCAAGGTACAGTATGAATTGATTTTTGATGCTTTGGCTTTTTACCAAACTATTTTGGAAACATTTAGTTCTTCTACAGGTTTAAACAAATTTGTGATAAAATGTTTGCAGGTCCGTAAGGAACTGGCAAGATGGTTTTCACTAAGAAATCTTAACAGCTCTAGCTGTACCAGGGTAAGTGATGACTAGTGATGTCCTGTGAGAGACTAGTGTGCTGTAAAAATATTAGTGATGTCCTGTAAGAGACTAGTTGTGCGCTGTGAGAGACTGATGTTCTGTAAGAGACTTGTATACTGTGAGAGACTGGTGATGTCCTGTGAGAGACTAGTGATGTCCTGTGACCTCTGAATTTCTGAAGTCATTTAAAGCCAAGGCATTTACACATCCTGCTATTTTTTTTTTACTTCTGTTAAATTCACTTCACATGTTTGAGATGTTAATGCCACATTCATAATTGTTCTCTCATTTGAACCACTTTTTACCAAATAAAGGGTTTTTTATTAGCTGCCTTAGTTACAGCTGAAATTACTTTACATTTTCAATGATTACATCTGGAAACTTCTGGAAAAAAATCAAGTGTTTATGAATTATTTTTGAGATTTTATTCTCACTATATAATCATGTAACACAGTGTTTCTCAACCACGTTCCTGGAGAACCACCTGCACATTTTCCATTGCTGCATGTATGCAAGTTTTGGGACATACTACTTTCTCGTTAACAGATTGTTGTGTTGCTTAGTTATGAGCCCTGTCAATCGTCCACACATCATCCACATTTCTTTCATATTTATTTCCTACCTTATTGGAGCAGCAGCGGCAGGGTAATCTCCCTTTTGCAAGTATTTCATGCAGAGAAATCTCTTCAGGTCTTTGGATAAATCTGCATTCAGACGTTAATGTCCAAACACGTCTTTATATAAGTTTAGTTTGGTTGTTGCCGATGAAATATAACACAGAAGATGCAATTTAAATAATTTTCCAGTTGGCTAGATATTGATTAACAGTCATACAAAAATCTTTACCCAAGCGGTCGGTCTGAGGTGTCCATTATATTTGTAGTTTATTTACACATTTCACCCGCATTTGTAATTTTAATCGAATTCACGTCCAACGCACAATGTACTGTGGGCAATAACAGTGATTGGAGTTTGGTTGCTTCTTCACTTAAACGTTTGACCGGAAAAAGTAACCATCAGGGAACCTTTGATATACTCTTTTTTTTTTTCTTTCTTTTTTTCTTTTTTTTAACATACTACGATTTTGGGACATACTAATTGTATTTTCAAATACTATTTAGGACGGATAGCATGTGAATTGGGATGCAGCACATGTTTTAAATTGGTAACACTTTTCATTAACAGTACATGAATATTGATTTATTAATATGTAAACTAAACATTAGTTTATTATGAATTAATGATGAGTTAAGGTATGCACTAATCATGCATTACCTTTAACTACAACATGATTCACATGAGTTCATGTGTGAATGATGGCTACCTTAATTACTTGCTAGTACATGTTGTTAATTAATTAATTTATTAATTAAGATAAATGTAAACAACACAAACTCATAAGCTGTTAATGTATAGTTATGTCATGACTTTACTTGGAGGGCACATCACTATTAACTCATCCTTAACTACACATGTTGATCATCATGTTGATGTTGACAGAACACTTATCTGGTGTTATTCAGTGAAAACTCACAAGTTAAACATGCATAAGGAGTTCATGAGTAGTTAAGAATGGGTTAATGATGATGTACCCCTCATAGTAAAGTCACAACATAATTATACATTAACATATCATGAGTTCATCATGATTTAATTAAGCATGAACTAATGTGGTAATTAAAACATTAATTAACAAACAATCATGTTCTAACAAGTAATTAAGGTAGCCGTTACTCTCACATGAACTCATGTGAATCATGTTGAAGTTAAAGTTAGTTAATGATTAGTGCACGCCTTAACTCATCATTAACTCATAATAAAGTAATGTTTAGTTTACATATTAATACATCATTATTCATGTACTGTTATTGCAAAGTGTTACCCTTAAATCAAACAAACCTGATTTAGATCATCTGCTCAATAGCAGAGACTGAAATACCTGTAATGGGTGTGACAATCAAAGGAGACATCCAAACATGTAGTGTTGGTTGTCCTCCAGGAACTTGGTTGAACAATACAGATGTGACATACATCACAGATTATTGTGAATAATGTACTTTAACTATTTTTGTGGACTTTTTTTTAACCATTTCACATCTTTTGCAAAAGTTCTAATAACACCCTATTAATTGAATCATTAGTTTCTTTTGTCCACTCTCTTTTCATTGGTTTCATCAGTAGCTCACAGGCAGGTGTTTCATGGTTACCCAGAAGGGGCAGGTTTCTGATCTTATCAGCTTGTCATGGGTGTTCCTTAAGACAAGGATGTAGGTTTGCTCCTCACATTGATGAGGACATGTCAATATTGATGTTTTTTTATATACTGTATAGACCATTTCAATATGGTGATGACGTTGGCCCTTGAACGTTTTCTGCTTGTTATCAAACTATTTCTTAACAGTATTAAGGTAATTCAATACCTTAACATTAAAACAGCTATCATAAAATCTTTTATCAATAAGTGGTTCCTTTTGGGTTTTCGGAAGCTATAGAAATGAAAAATGTAAAACACGAAATACTCTGGGACCATTGTTTTTGCTTGCGTCTCTTAAAATGATCTAAATGCTGCTATTATATAACTGCAGCATAATTCTATAATATTAATTATATTTTAAAAAAATATTATTAATTTTATTATTTATTAGGTTAAATTAAAAAGTGTAATGTTAAAAGCATGTTTATTAGCTAATAAAGATTATTAAAGATTAATCAAGTTTATTAAAGACTTCTGTTTATTGTTAGCCATAGTGGAAATTAAACCTGTCTCATATATCAGTATTATTAAAAGCTGGAGCACAGGCTGCAGTTTTTCGGACTAATTGTGTCAAATGAAATTAAACATGCTTTTCTCAGAGATTTGGAGAACTGGCAGGGATCATATTTATTCTTTTACATTTAGCTGTTTATTGTGCGGTTAGTTTTCTGGGCCTATTATTCACAGACTATTTCAGCCTGGTGTAATTTTAGAATGTGCGTTAAAGCGGGGATAACACTAGCCTTAATGGCATTATCATGATAGATTCATTCAATAGCAAACTTGAGTTTATTTGACTTTTATGACACTTTTCTTTGAAAAAAGCTCCTTTGTCCAACTTTTTTTTTTTTTTTTTTGATGCCACCATCCTCACTTGTGTGTATCTGAAAGCAGCTACAGCCTTTCACGTAACAGCAGAGAAAGGCACAGCCAATAACAGTGATCATATTGACAGCACAATTTTTTTTAAGTGAATTAAATTATCGGTTTGGACATTTCAATAGTTGGTGGATATTGGTGGGGACATGTCCCCTCTAAATCTACGCCCCTGTTGCAAGGCCACATGTGCACCTCTCTTCTACAAAATGTACTACATCACTGGGACTTTGCTATGCTGATGACACAGATTTATTTTTCAATTTAATCAGATGATCCAGCGGTAGCTGCACAGGACTCACATTGGCTGCAGGACATCTCAGCATGAATAAAAGAACATCACCTGCTGTTAAACCCGACAAGAACAAATGCATGGCCATGGTCAGTTCAAAATGCTGCAGCACAACTGGTTTTCTTTAATTAACCCAAGAGGACCTAAATCACATCTGTTTTCATCTCTCTGCACTGCATGGCAGTCGTTTACAGCTCACATTAGGTAGAAAGCATTACCTCCTACTGTACACCCCATTTGGAATGCAGAATTCTTGACAATGTTCAAGAGTAAGCTGAAAACTTGTCTCATTTATAAGCCCTCAACTTCATCTCATTAACAAAGTCTCCATGCTTTCCTTGATCTCTCTTTATTCTATCAGTTTCCTAAGCTTTGGTTAGACTAATTTTTTCTTGGATTTTGCTGTAGCACACACAAAACATTATGTACACTATGCTCATTTGTGGTGTTCTAATGTAATTTGGAGTATGGTTTATTCCTTGAATCCAGGGGAGTCCCGGCCCACAATAAGGCCTTTTTTTAGCAGAGGACAATTAGGAGAATGATCATGTTGCCTCAGTTCATGTTATTCTCTGACTGACCCAAAAATTAACAAATTTGTAATTTGTCCTCCACAAAAAAATACAAAGAGTCACTGGTTTGCCCTCTCGCAGCGCTATCAATACTGAAAAACATGAAATGGAAATACCAAGATAGTTGCCTGAAAAAAGTTTTTTTTTTTCCATTTTCTTAAAGCAAAAGAGTCCCTGACCCAGCCACAGTGTATTATCTGCACCAAAGTTCTTGTTAACGAATGCATGAGGCTATTCAAATCAATAAGACATTTGCACACGACTCTTCCCCAATACCGCAACAAGCCCACAGCATTTTTTGAGCGCAAGGCAAAAGAATTGACACACACGCAAAATGAAATGAGGAACGTCACAGCCACTGACAAGAAACTTAAAAAATTTGGCAACTAATATAGAGTAAATTTAAAGCCCAAAGGCTTAAGTTTTTCAGTTACAATTGGCCTACTGATGTTTTGCCTTTATATTTTACATTATCTAGAATAATAAATATACTGTTTCTTTGAAAAACAACATTTTTCATTATTCTTACTGCAAACTTATAGAGATAACATCAATAAATGTTGAGGGCGGCCTTACAATATTTTCCAGGCGAAAAGGGTGTCTCTGGCAAAAAAAAAAAAAAAATGTTTGGAACCACTGCCTCAAATAATTTAGTGAAGTTCTCTTTTGAAAGCTTTAAAATGTGAAGTTTAATTCAATATTAACTTTTATATCATTTTATATCTTTAATCAAAATTACAGAAATCACTAAATGCTGATATACTGTATACATGCAGTGATTTTTTTACATATTTGTATTGCTGTGAAAATAATCAAGGATTTAGGGTTATTCACTGAATGTTGAAAATAATTTGTTATTATTTATTTATATTTTGCACTTTTAAATGTTTATTTAATGTTCAGTGACCAAAGGGTTTATGCAATAATGTGAACTTATTGTATAATTTTAACTTATTATTCACAGTTTAACTTAATTTATCCAAATTTTAAAACTGCAATTTTTTCGTATTATTTCTAGGAAAATATTTTTTAATGTAATAAACAATATACTGAAATTTGCATAATTGATATTTTAATTTAGCATATAATTTGTGTCATTGTGTCTTTGATATGTGTTTCTCAGTATTGTCCAGTATTCTGCTTTTAGCTCCAACCCTTATAAACTGGACTTTAAGACATTGAAAGACATTTTAGAAAAGTGGTTTCACATTGTTGAGTCACAAAACAAGAATTTGCACTTTGCAAATAGTACTATAAGGAGTTTGGACTCATAAATACAGTTCACTGCTAAACCATATAATGTAGCTGTATCCACCAATGAAATGTAGAAATTTGATGTGCTTTTAGTATTGGCAGTAAGTCTATTTTGCTCTAAGAACTGTTTGGATTAAAGTTGAAAGTGAAATTTAATAATCTGATGCTGTATTAGATGAATGATGAAGATGCCAGTGGAAAAAAAACAAAAAAAAAAAACAAGAAGGGTGTGTTGTTTTAACAAACCAGAACAAGTAAGATGAACAAAGAAATAAGCTTAAAAAACAAGTTGAGCAGGTAGTGTACAAATGTTATTGTGGTGTTCATTAAGATTTTGGAGCGTTGACTAGCAGACATTTTGTAGAAAGGATTACCAGTGTCAGTTCTTAATTTTCTTACTGTATGATTTCCTGTCAGGCACGGGGTCGAACCCAGGTCTCCAGTGTCAGAGACTGAAGGCTTATCCACTAAGCCACAGGAGGACAATGATCCCAACAACAAGACAGTACTTGCTCTGTGAGAGGTTTATTTACAAAACATAAAAAATCCAGACTTGGAACAAAAAATGCAGAGATAACAAAAAGACTGGTTAACGGAGGAACAAAAAGGCCAACAGGCAAAATATCTCTGAAAAAACTAGAGCAAGCAAAACACATCCAAAAAACTAGAAAAAGGCAATGTAGCACAAGACTCTGAGTAAACTAGACTTTAGAGAAGCAAGAAGACTTACGACCATCAAGGGTTAGCATCAACAATAACTGAGCAAAGAAACAGGGGAACTAGTCAACTTAAATACACAAGACCTAACAGGACACAAGTGAAACCAATCACGTAATTACTGAACTTAAACAACACATGGGGAGAAATGGGGACATCTAAAGAAACAAAATCATAACATGTAAAAAATAAAGTCATGAAATGACAGATCCTGACATTTCCAGCTTAAATTTGTGATTTGTGAAGCTATAAACGAACTACTGTTGACTTTGTGCTTGACTGCACAACATGGGGAGTAAAGGTACTTTAATTCATTCACTATAGAAATGTATTTTTGGTTGTACATAATCAAAAGAAGGCTTTGGTGTAAATTCATTTTGACCTAAATATATGTAGAATGCAGTTTAATTTTTCATTAAATTCTGGTGAATGTATTATTTATTTGTATAGACAATAAAATTTGAATTTAATACAAAACAATGACTCCTTTCTTCATTTCTCAGATGCACGGACAGTATTAAAATACCTGTTAGGATTCCAAATAAGCTATCCTGCTAACTCAGGTAAGATTAACATAATTTATAAATAGTTATTAGAAATGTTAGTTTATTTATAGCACATTTTTTACAACACAACGTTGCCCAAGGTGCTGAACACAATCAATACTAAAATCTACATCACATATATAACAATTAAAACATAAGGCAACCCCCTCAACATTAAAAAGGCTCAAATACTTAAAAAAAAGATGGCATTTCAAACGTTTTTTAAAAACAGGTCGAGTTGGCCCGTTCCAGAGTTTTGGGGCGACAACAGCAAAAGCCCGATCCCCACTTTGCTTAGGCCGGGACCTTGGTATAGATAGAATAAATTCATCAGAAGACCTCAGTGACCTACCAGGATTGTATAAATGTAGCAGGTCTGATAAGTAAGATAGTGCCAGATTGTTCAAGGATTTAAAAACAAAGATTAATAGTTTGAAATAAATCCGTGACCTAACAGGCAGCCAGCCCAGAGAGGAAAGAACTGGGGATATGTGCTCGAACTTGCGAGTCCCTATCAGAAGTCTCGCAGCCGCATTTTGTACTAATTGCAATCTATTTAGGGCATTTTGACTAATACCCACATACAAGTAATTGCAATAGTCAAGTCTTCCCAAAATATAAGCATGGATCACCTTCTCAAGGTCATTAAAAGAGAGAAACAACTTTACTTTTGCCACAAGTCGTAAATGGAAAAAACTGCATTTAACAACTGTATTTACTTGTTTGTTAAATGTCAGATCACTGTCGAATTGAAATCCTAAGTTTCTAACAACAGGTTTTTGATAAGTGGAAAGCTCACCAAAACCTGATAAATGCAGTGGGTTAGGATTGCCAAACCAGCTCAGTTTTTTCTTCATTGAAATTTTAAAAAATTGACTAAAGCCAGCTCTTAACCTCGACTAGACATCTCATAAGGGAGTCAAGTCCCTTTTTATCCCTACTTTTAAAAGGGACATAAATCTGAGTGTCATCAGCATAAAAATGAAAAGCCACCCCATATTTATGAAAAATAGATCCTAAAGGTAAAATATATAAAGATAATAAAATAGGTCCAAGTATAGACCATTGTGGAACTCCACATGTCAGGGGTCTGGAGGATGAAAAGGTCTGACCAACGTTAACACAAAAGCTTCTGTCTGACAAATAAGATCTAAACCACTTAAGAACAGAGCCCTGAATGCCCACTAAATTCTCAAGATGAGAAATAACGATTTCATGGTCTATAGTGTCAAAAGCTGCAGTAAGGTCAAGAAGTAAGGATCACAGAGTGCCCCGAGTCCCTAAATAACAGAATGTCATTGAACACATGTAGCAGTGCAGACTCAGTACTGTGATATGCCTTAAAACCCGATTGAAAAACTTTATAAATACTGTTAAGCTCCAGAAAGCTCTGCAGTTGTGTTAAAACTGTTTTCTCCAAAGTCTTAGATAAAAAGGGTAGCTTAGAAATAGGTCTAAAATTGGACAGCACAGATTCATCCAAACTTGGCTTTTTCAAAAGAGGTTGCACTACAGCATGTTTCAATTGAGAAGGCACCACACCAGAAACAAGACTCCTATTTATAATGGATAAAATACTAGGGCCAATAATCTCAAAGGCTTGCTTAAAAAAACTTTGATGGAAAAATATCCAATGGATAGCTGCTAAGTTTTATCTGGCCTACTGTGTCAGTCAGAGATACAAGAGAGACAGGTGTGAAACTAACAAGTGCAGCAGGGGACACACCAGGATCCGGAAAAACAATATCAAAGCTAGCAATTCCAGACCTAATTGAAGAAATCTTCTCAGTGAAGAAGTTTAAAAAAACTTCACATGTATCACATGACTCCTCTATAACAACATTAGACCCAGGGTTAATCACAGAACTTATGCAGGAAAATAAAACATCAGGCTTATTTTGATGATTACTGATTAATTCAGAAAAATATTTCCTCTTACCCTCCTTCATAGAACGCTGATAATTAGAGAGAGATTCCTTGAAGATCTCATATGACACCTGCAGTTTATCTCTCTTCCACTTGCGTTCAGCCTTTCTGCAGGCCTGTCTAGATGCCCGAGTTGTCCCATTTAGCCAAGGCTCTGATCTAGGCTTAACAGTTTTAGTTTTTTCGGGGGCAACAAAGTCTAAGATTGAAGAAAAAGAGCAATTGAACAATTCCAGCAACTGGTCTACATCCATATGAGAGGGAGGGTCCTCTAGCTAGTTGTATGTTGTTCATTAATGTACAAATCTTTAAACAGATCAATAGAAGAAACATTAAATCTACGAAACTGCCTGAAAACAATAGGAGAGTTGCTTATTTTTATGGGTAAAAGTGATCTCAAAAGTGACCGCTTTATGGTCTGTAAATGCCATATCGTCTAATGCAATATTGCAGACTGATAGACCATGTCAAAACACAATCCAATGTGTGCCCCTGGTTGTGAGTGGGCCCTTGCACATGCTGTGTCAAATTAAAATAGTCAATAAGATTTAGGAAATCCTTTGCTAAATTGTCTTTTGGGCAGCAAACATGAATATTAAAATTACCCAAAATTAAAATATTATCATATCTAGGTAAAATACTGCTCAACAAGTCCCCAAACTGTTTAATAAAGTCTTTAGTAGACCTAGGAGGTCGATAGATTAATGCACATAGGACAGGTCCTGAGCGTTCTTTTACTTTGATCTTACTCTCTAGTTATGTTTTTAACATATCAATATTTTTGTTCGGGACCATGAAATAAGTTTGATGTGACCACAATACATGCAATAAAATGTTTGTATATTTCATTTTATTTCAGTTAAACTAAAAAGACTGGACACTGAATCATATAAGAGAAAGAAGCACAGGTCTGATTTGTGTTTTGTGGTTTACATGTCTGAATACATTTTGGGAGATTCAATTATTGTACAAAATCTTTTGTTTATCTTGAGATTGATGTTAGGCAATACACAAAATACTATACTGTACTCATTCATTTCATTCATTCATTTTCTTTTTGGCTTAGTCCCTTTATTATTCTGAGGTCACCACAGCGTGATGAACTCATCCAGCATATGTTTTACTCAGTGGATGGCCTTCCAGCTGCAACCCATCACTGGGAAAACTATACTGTACTGTCAACTATAATATTTATCTTTTACTTTAGGTGTTCAGGAATGTTTTGTGTTCATGAATGGACCAAGGGATCATTATTGTTACAAAGGTGAGTGTTTCTGCAATTTCTCAAATTGTCCCTCTCCTCATTCTTTATGTGATATAGCAGCTATAGTAAATATATCATCCAGGAAGATGATAAGAGATCCCTCAACCCACTAATAGTCTGTTAATTTTTTTTATTTAAATGCTGAAAAAATTGCATGTATTTGAAATTTTAAAAAAAAACAAGAAATTAAAGAATTTTATTACAAATGTTACCATCTTATAAAGCTATTGTAGGTTTATTCAGTGCAAAGACACCAATCTTTCAACGTTTATTGAAAATAATTCATGACCTAAAAATTTTTTATAAGGGTTTAGGGTGACATGAAGGATACATTACTTTCAATTTTAATTTTGGGGCTGACAAACACTTTAAGAAAAAAGTGTTAAGTCTTAGTGTTCTCTCTCTCTCTCTCTCTCTCTCTCTCTCTCTCTCTCTCTCTCTCTCTCTCTCAAATAATACATTTGATCATTCTAACGATATTAATAATAATGATAATAATAATAAAATCTAGATTATGTAAATAAGATACATAAGTTGAAATTAACCATTTCCTAGTGTGTTTATGCATACATACTTTCAGGATAGATTAGACGTCAATTCATCCTTTCCGAGTACATGGTTTTTTGAGTCATTTAATTGAAAAAAATATTAACTAATTAATGATTCAAATTGGGGGAAAATATTTCTCTAGTTGTTTTGCATATGGGTCAGTACTGGAGGAAGTGTGTCTCGTCCTTTATTTGATTTCTGTCACACTGTTTACATAGCCTCTCTCTCTCTTTATTTTTATACTTAATTCTTAATTCCAGCATTGGACATTAAAGATGGAACACTTGGAAATGGACGGAAAGGTGGATAGTTGAACAGAACATGTGGAAAACACAATGAAGGTTGCCAGTATAGATTAAGAGGTTTGAGGCCAATACTAGATGACAGTGTACCTCAAATTATAAAAGACCTTCAAAGGAAAGTCAAGGTAGTCTACTGACATATCGAATCAGCTAATATCTATATTTAATACAATTCTCTTGTTCATAGACCAACTATACTCTTTACTCAGTAGCCAATGTGAAGTCATCTCAGTTTAATGTTCAATAAATATATATTTTGATCTACATTATCATCAGAAGATTTAAGGTTATTTCTGCAGTACATATGTAATGTAAGTGCACTGCAAAAAAAGCTTTCCTTTAACATATTGTCTTGTTTTACAAAATAGTATGCCAATATTAAGTGTTTAAAACAAGCAAAATAACCTGTCAATGGGGTGAGCGAAATGATCTTGCTTTTCTTTTGCCATAGATTATTTTTCTTGTTTTAAGAAAAAAAAAACTCAATTAAGTTTGGAAAACTATTTAATAACACAAGACAATGTGTTTTGCTTGTCTAGAAAATGCTTCTTGATTTAAGAGTTGTTAGATATTTGGACTAAAAAACAATTAAAACTACATTTCTAGTTATCTGAAGGGTCTTGCAAATTAAGTTGATGTACTTGCATGTGGATGCTAATCTGCTAATACTCAAATTACTGCTAGTGGACCTTTTTATGTTCACTCTTATTTGAAGCACAGGCCTAAACAGGGTAATTATGCCTAATAAAGCTGATTAATTATTATTATTATTTTTTACTTTAAAAAATATGACATTTAAAGGACTAAGTTAAAAAATATTTTTAGCTGATCTTTTTACTATTAAATTATTCATAGAAGTTGGGGTTATTGTATGTCGCGATCAAATTTTATTCTTTACAGTCTATGGTCACAATCCCAAGGTTCATTGCGGTCCCAAGGTTCACTGCGTTTTTTTAACTCGGTAAGTAAAAAGTAAACAAATAAAGACGATTTGCTGATAAAGCATTTACTGTAAACTAGCGACATTATCTTACTACATCCAAGTTCATTTATTAAAAAATATATTTCCCCACATATAGTCGTGCATAACTCAGAACAATATAGTTATACATTTGAAGATGAGGAACAGTGTTACCAGATTGTTGTTTTCCACAATAGTAAACGACCAAAATCTAAGTAAATTATGCAATATGCAATAAATATGTCCTCTAATAATACAATTCTATTTATAGTTTATAGTTATAGATTTTAAAGCAAATCAAGTGTTTCTCAAAAGTTTAAAGGCTACACTGTAATTGTAACTGCAATTATTTTCCATGCATTAAAAGAAACAAAAAAAAAGGCAGACATAACAGAAATTCTGCCTGTCTGAACACATTTTATCATTATATTTTATTTTATTTTATTTGTAGACCACAACAATGAAAAAAACTAAAGAAAAAAAAAAACTAAATCAAAGGTGGGCTAATAAGTCTGACTTCAACTGTGTGTGTGTGTGTGTATACATACATACATTTTTTTATTTAATTTTTTTATTCCTTGTGGAGAAAATCTTATTTGTTTTATTTAGGCTAGAATAAAAGCAGTTTTTAATTTTTAAAAAACAATTTTAAGGTCAATATTATTTTGCCCTTTAAGCTATATTTTTTCTATATTCTACAGAACAAACCATCATTATACAATAACTTGCCTAATTACCCTAACCTGCCTAGTTAACCCAATTAACCTAGTTAAGCCTTTAAATGTCACTTTAAGCTGTATAGAAGTGTCTTGAAAAATATCTAGTAAAATATTATTTACAGACATCATGGTAAAGATAAAATAAATCAGTTATTAGAAATGAGTTATTAAAACTCTTATGTTCAGAAATGTGCTGAAAAAAATCTTCTCTCTGTTATATATATATATATATATATATATATATATATATATATATATATATATATATATATATATATATATATGTGTGTGTGTGTGTGTGTGTGTGTGTGTGTGTGTGTGTGTGTGTGTGTGTGTGTGTATGTTTAAGCATGGAAAATAATTGTAGTAATAATGTAGCCTTTAAACTTTTGAGAAACACTTGATTTGCTTTAATATTGAAACAATTATGAATACATTTGTATTATTAGAGTTAATATTTATTGCATATGGCATAATTTATATAGATTTAGCACGTATTGTGGAAAACAACAATCTGGTAACACTGTTCCTCATCTTCAAATGTAAATATTGTTCTGAGCTATGCATGACTGATATGTGTGGAAAATATTTTTTTAATAAATGAACTTGGATGTAGTTAGATAACGTCGCTAGTTTACAGTAAATGCTTGATCAACAAATCGTCTTTATTTGTTTACTATTTACTTACCGAGTGGAAAACAGCAGTGGACCTTGGGACCTTGGGGTTGTGACCATAGACTGTAAAAAAAAATAAAAATAGATTGCGACATACAATAACCCCAACTTCAATGAATAATTTAATAATAAAAAGATCAGCTAATTTTTTTTTAAACTTAATACTCGAAATGTGATATTTTTTTAAGTAAAAAATTAATAAATAAAATGAATGAATGAAAAAAAATGTATAAATAAAATGAATGAATCAACGTTTTATTAGGTATGATTACCCTAAACTGGGCAATCGAATATAAATTTACTCATTAAATATAAAGTAAACGACAAACTATTTATCAACACCAACTAATCTCCAATAAAAATACATTATGCAGCAATAACCTACCACTTATTGTTGACAGTTTAACTCATCTGCGAACTCACCGCTGATGCAGTTTGACCAATAGCTGAGCGGTGTTAAACTCGGTGTTAAAAGGAAGTCACGTGGACAGAAGTTTATTGTTTCGACCCAGTTTACAGATGCTTTTCATGAACAAAACAGAAATTACATATTTTTGAAATAAGAAAACTGCGATTATAGGCGTAAATCAGGTTTTAAAAATTGCTTTGACATCTATTGGCTGGGAGCGTCTCCATATGATGCCTCAGGTTCAAGTACAAATTCTATAGGGAATCCCTGCACTTCTAAATATTACGTTGAAGGGGTACCCTGTGTGTTAAAAACTTACGCCAAGGGTACCTGACCAAGCGTCATTATTTGACGAGTTGGGAGTGAGAACGTGTTGATTCAGCGGACCGAAAAAGGCTGGCCGCTGGCCCCGAGAAAGCCCCGCTTTGGCCCAATCAGGCCCCGGGAGTGATAGTGGAAATGCGACTGGCCTTGCCTCCCCCTGGCTCGCTCGCTTTAGGCGCGATAGTGGAAACACGGCTAATATGTACATAATGTGATATTTAACATTTTTGTATTGCTGTAGAAATGTGAGGATTTGGGGTTATTTGCTAAATGTTTAAAATAGTTAATTTCTTTATATATATATATATATATATATATATATATATATATATATATATATATATATATTCTTTTTTTACTTTTAAATGTTCACTTAATGTTCAGTGAACAAAGGGTTTGTTGAATAATGTGACATCATCAGTCTTTTGAAAATGCATACTGAGTCACTTTATTACTTATTATTTACAATTTTAACTTGGGGTATTCCTTAATTTATCTACATGTTTTAGAGTAAACATTAAAGTGTAATGTATCTAAATATTTCTCGGAAAATATTCTAAGACATAACAAAAAATATAGCTGAAATATGCATATATTATGTCTTTGGTTTATGTTGCTCTGTAATGTCCACTGTTCTGTTTTTAACTCCAACCCTGATCAAACTGGACTTTAAGACATTATATGACATTTTAAGGAAGTGATTTCAATTCTTTGAGTCACACAACAAGAATTTGCTGTCTGCATATATTTTAGGAGTTTGGACTCAAAAATATTCTTCACCACTAGACCATATATTGTAGCTGTATTCACTAATGAGATGTAGAAATTTGATGTGCTTTTAAAGTGCTTTTTTTATCTCTAAGAACTGTTTGGATTTAAGTTGAAAGTAAAATTGAATAATATAATACTGTAGATGAGTCATAAAGTTACCAGAGGGAAAAAAATTAAACAAGAAGGGTGTGTTGTTATAAAAAACTAGAACAAGGAAATAAGTTGGACAATAATTAGAACAAAGAAATAAGGTTAAAAAACAAGTTGAGCTGGTAGTGTACAAATGTTGTAGTGTTCATAAAGATTTTGGAGTGTTGACTAGCAGACATTTTGTCGAAAGAATTACCAGTGTCAGTTCTTAATTTTCTTACTGGTTTCCAGCTTAAACTTGTGATATCTGAAGCTATAATTGAACTGATGTTGACTTTGTACTTGACTGCACAACATGGCGAGTAAAGGTCTGTAAATGTTTGGTTCACTATAAAAATGTATTTTTGGTTTTACATAATCAACAGAAGGCTTTTTGTGTAAATTCATTTTGACCTAAATATACTTTAGAATGCAGTTTAATTTTTCACCTATTTCTGGTTATTTTATTATTTATTCTTTTACTTAGACAATGAAATTTGAATTTAATACAAGACAATGTCTTCTTTCTTCATTTCTCAGATGCACGGACAGTATTAAAATACCTGTTAGGATTCCAAATAGCTATCCTGCTTACCCAGGTAAGATGAAAATGTTTTATGATTATTTATAAATGTGACTTTTACTCTCTAGTTATGACTTTTATCAATACTTTTGTTTGGGACAATGAAATACATTTGATGTGACCACAATACATGCAATAAAATCTTTGTATATTTTATTTTATTTCAGTTAAATAGCAAAGATGGGACACAGAATCATATAAGAGAAAGAAGCACAGGTCTGATTTGCTGTTTTTACTAGTGTTTTTATGGTTTACATGTCTGAATACATTTTGGGGGATTCAATTATTGAACAAAGGCTTTTGTTTATCTTGAGATTGATGTTAGGCAATACACAAAATACTATACTGTACTCATTCATTTCATTCGTTCATTTTCTTTTTGGCTTAGTCCCTTTATTATTCTGGGGGGTCACAGTGCAATGAACTCATCCAGCATATGTTTTACTCAGTGGATGGCCTTCCAGCTGCAACCCATCACTGGGAAAACTATACTGTACTGTCAACTACAATATATTCTTTTACTTTAGGTGTTCAGGAATGTCCTGGGCTCATTAATGGACCAAGGGATCATTTTAACTGTTACAAAGGTGAGTGTTTCTGCAATTTCTCAAATTGTCCCTCTCCTCTATCTTTATGTGATATAGCAGCTATAGTAAATATAACATCCAGGAAGACGAAGTCAAATCTGAGAGATCCCTTAACCCACTGTTAGTCTGTACAATTTTAAAAATTTAAATGCAGGAAAAATTATCTGTATGTGAAATTTAAAAAAAATGAGAGTAAAGAAAATTCAATTAAAAATGTTACCATCTTAAAATGCTATAGTAGGTTTATACATTGCAAAGACACCAATCTTTCAAAGTTTATTGAAAATAATGTATGACCTGAAGATAAATTTCATGTGGGTTTGGAGTGACATGAAGGATAAATTACCTACAATTTTAATTTTGGGGTTAACAGACATTTTAAGAAAAAAAAGTGTTATGAGCGTTAGTTTGTACAGTATTGCCAAAGCATTATGTAAGATATGTAATATATTAACATCATCAAATTAATAAAATATACAGTGAAGAAATAAATTACAAAAAAGAAAGAAAAAACAGATAATACATTTGATAATTATAACAACAACAACAACAACAATAATAATAATAATAATAATAATAATAATAATAATAAAGTTTAGATTATTTAAATAAGATACATGATTTTACATGATCCATTTCTTATGGTGTGTAGGGTGTATACATATTTTCAGGACAGTTTGGACGTCAATTCATCCTCTCCGATTACATGGTTACATATTTTGAGTCATGTAAATAAATTACAAAACTAATTAAGTAATGTTTCATATTTGGGGGGGGGGGGGGGGGGTGTATGTTGTAGTGTATCTGGCGCAGAACAGACGGAAGTGTGTCTCATTCTCTATTTGATTTCTGTCACACTGTTTGCATACCCTCTCTCTCTTTATTTTTATATTTCGCATTGGACATTAAAGATGGAACACTTGAAAATGGACAGAAAGGTGGACAGTTAAACAGAACATGTGGAAAACACAATGAAGGTTGCCAGTATGGATTAGGAAGTTCGAAGCCAATACTAGATGACAGGGTACCTCAAGTTATAGAAGACCTTCAAAGGAAAGCCCAGGTAATCTACTGACATATCATGTCAGACCATTAAAGTGGGTTAGCAGCTATGGTGGAAAGAGTACTGAACAATCATGCTCAAGTAAAAGTACCATTACTTGCCTAAAAATGTAGTGTAAGTAGAGTAAAAGTATATGTTGTAAATATTACTCAAAGTATGAGTAAAAAGTAGCCATTTCAAAAGTACTCAAGAGTAGTTTTAAAAAGCTGATGCGTTTACATGTAATTTGTGCATCTGTGTGTAAACGTAACATTCTGTAGTGCATCGAGTTATTGCCCAGCAGGCACACAAGATCATAAGACATTAACATTAGGTTAGATTGGGCTTCCGGTTGCGGGCGTGAATGGAGTAGTCGCGCTTGTCTCGAGGTCCCTGTGGACTTCTTTTTTTTCTTCAATTCTTTAATCCTCCACCACTTTATTTATTTGTTTACCACTTAGTGCTTGACTGTGAACATGTTTAACGCTTAAAAAGTCTAAAAATGGCATCGAAGTCCGGCAAATATGGGAAAAAAGACCCTCCTAAAGACGATGGTACCGCAGCGCACGCGGAGTTTAACATGGCGGCCTTAACTAGCCTTCTGGAAGAACATAGAGAGGCCCTGTCTACTGAGTTTAAAGCCGCCTTGATATCTTTGGAAGCGAAACTGGACTCAGTTCAAACAGCGGTGCTGGATCAAGGTACGCGAATAACTTCGCTAGAATCGAATGCCGACCTTCTCAGTGAGCGAATTATCTCGCTAGAAGCGACCTGTTCTGAGCTAACTGAGAGCTATGCTAAACTAAAAGCTAAAACGGCAGACTTGGAGGGTCGAAGTCGGCGCAATAATATCAGAATTATCGGAGTGCCAGAATCCGTCGAGGGCCCTCGACCATCTGTGTTTTTCTCGCAGTTTCTAGTGGATGTTATGGGCGAACAAATCCTGTCATCCCCACCGGAGATCGACAGGGCGCATCGCGCTCTTGTGGCCAAACCGAAGCAAGGAGGAAAACCAAGGGCTGTGATAGTTCGGCTTCACCGCTATCAGATTAAAGAGGCTGTGATGCGAGAGGCTCGGAAACGAAGGGGCTCGCTACAATATCAGGACAAACCGATCGCTATCTACGATGACTACAGCCCTGAGGTTGTGGAGCAACGCGCACAATACCGCGGAGTTATGACAGAACTTTACAATCTGGGTTTCAAACCATCCCTCCTCTTCCCGGCGAGACTGAGAATTACGACAAAAGCCGGTGAGCAAAAGTGGCTCCCCTCGGTTGAAGAGGCCAAGAACTTTCTAGGATCTCACCGTAATGCTTCGTAGAGGACATTACCGTTATACGCTTTTAAATAGTTTTACCTGATTGCGTTTTTATTAGGTGGAAAAGTTATGCCACTGTTCTAATAATAAAAGATGTCATGTTCTTTAAGGAGGACTTTCTGAAACACAGGGTTGAGTTTATATAAGGTAAGGAGAGATAAAGGAAGAGTGTAAATTGCATGGGGGATTTTTGAACGTTGTATTATGTTAATAACAACGTGTCTATGGGGTTGGCTTGATCTAGTGGGAGGGTTGGAGTTCGTTACGGGATGGTGCCATGATAATTTCATATTTTTATATGTAGCCTTTTCTATACTAAGTGTTTATATGTGGGTCTTTAGTTTTAATTTAGTTATTTATTTTTCCTTCTTTTATTTTTATTTTCTTTATTTCCACAATTCATTTACAGCCCGCTTTTTTGGTAACTATGGGTAGGGAGTTGAGATTAATAAGCTGGAATGTCAAGGGCCTAAATAACATAGTGAAAAGAAATAAAGTTCCCCTTCGGTTGGGGAACTTCAGTGCCATGAATGGGAGGATTCGTATCAGAAGCCGCTTATCTGGAGAGTATTGAACGGGCCAATGAATGAAATTAATTGGCAGCGTAAGCTTGCGCAGGTGTGCGACATCTGCAATCATCTCAGCATATAAGCACACCTGAAGCCAGCAGACGCCATCCTTTTCGCTTCAGATCCTTTCTGAGTGAGTCGATGAGGGTTCCTCTTGCTGATCAGCACTTCAGAGCGAACGAGTGTGTCTCCCGGTCCAGAGTGGGTCTTCGCGGTGGCAGACGGTCGAGCTGGGTTACTCCCTTGCCTGCGGTTCTTTGGGTCCGGTCCTCCAGAGCGGTGCGTATAGTTGCAACTTTCCTAAAAGAGCAACACAGTCGTGCAGCACGTCCTTTTCAGGATGGCGCTCCGACTGTGCGTTTCTGGATGCGGGGGTTTCCTGTCTCCGGATGATGGACACGATCACTGCATTGCATGTTTGGGGGTCCAGCATGTTAATGCGGTGCTCGCGGGCGGTTCATGTCGTCATTGCGATGCCATGACCGTTGCACAGCTAAGATCGCGGCTAACTTTCGCAAGAGAGCGAGCCACCCCAGTTGCCTCCTGTTCTAAAAAAGCAGCGGGCGCTCGGGCAGATCTGAGGGTTTCAGCGGGAGCTAATCCGCCGCCCACGGGCTCGCGGACCTCTCGCTCCTCACGGCGCTCCATCCAAGCTTCGGGTGGTGAGAGTGATCCGTCTAACCAGATGGTAGCTCTCACACTCGCTGACACCGGAGATCAGATGTCCTCCGCGGCATCGGAGGGTGGGCTTTCACTGTCCGACGAAGATCCGGACCCGCTCGCCCCCTCCGGGCAGGTGAGCGCTGTCAAATCGGATCCTGAAGCGGACATGTTAGCCGTGCTTTCCCGGGCTGCTTCGGCCGTGGGGTTGGAGATGGTTTATCCCCCAGCTCCGCGGCCGGACCGACTAGATGGGTGCTACGTAGAGGACCAGAAGGCGAAGCCTTCGAAGCCTCTCGTCCCCTTCTTCCCGGAAGTGCACAGTAGGCTCACGCAGTCCTGGAGGGCACCTTTCTCTGCCCGTGCTGCGAGTGCCTCCGCCCTCACCGCCCTTGACGGCGGAGCTGCCAGGGGGTATGAGGCGATCCCGTCAGTGGAGCGCGCTATCGCGGTCAATCTTTGTCCGCGCGGCGCCTCTACGTGGCGGGGTTTGCCCCGCCTCCCGTCCAAAGCCTGTAGGTTGTCTGCCTCCCTCGGAGCCAGAGCTTATAAGGCTGCGGGCCAGGCTGCTTCTGCTTTGCACGCGATGGCCACCTACCAGCGCTACCAAGCGCAGGCGCTGGCCGAGCTGCACGAGGGCGGGTCCAACCCAAGCTTATTACATGAGCTGCGCACCGCGACCGACTATGCTCTTCGGACTACTAAGTCCGCCGCGTGTGCGCTGGGGAGGACGATGTCCACACTTGTGGTTCAGGAACGCCACCTCTGGCTAAACCTGGCCGATATGCGCGACGTTGACAAAGTTCGCTTTCTTGACTCGCCCATATCCCAGGCTGGCCTGTTCGGCGACACCGTCGGTGAATTCACCCAGGAATTCAAGGCGGTGAAAGAGCAGTCGGATGCGATGGGCAATGTCATCTATCGGCGTGGCCGTAAGCCCGCTCCGCCTGCCGAGCCATCCACCTCCGCTGTTCCTCGCCGAGGGCGCCCGCCAACGAGTGCTGCCCCGCCCCCGCCTGCGCCTCCGGCCAAGCGGGCGCGGCGTTCACCTCGAAAGCAGGCAGCCCCTCCTGCCCAGGGCGCCGTTAAGTCCGGTAAACGGACCGCGAAGCGTCCCTGAGACAGGCCATCCGGAGAAGAGGAAACTTGCTCTTTCCCCGCTGGAGGGCGGGGCCCCGATAACAACGGTACTTTTCAGTGCCACCAAAACATCAGTAAAAGAGCACTTTTCCCTTCCCCGGATGTGACTGCACGAGTTCTGCCAGTCCGGGACGCGCTGCCTTCCGGCTCGCAGACTCTACGTGCTTCGCCAGTGGCTCACGAGCGCTGGGGGGACGGTCTCCCTTCCCTCAGCCCTCCAGCCCCCTCTCCGGAGTCAGGGTGCGGAGCCAGAGCGAATCGCTCTCCTCCAGCTTTTCCGCGGGACCCTCGTGCTTCCCGGATCAGCACACCCACTCCGCGCTGCCCCACCGCTGGTACGTCAGCGATTGTAGCGATGACTCCATTAGCGAGGGCTCTGCCTGCCTGGTTAGCGCGGGCCAGCCCCTCGCGGTGGCTCATACGCACAATCAGACTCGGTTACGCGATTCAGTTCGCGAAGCGGCCCCCCAAGTTTACGGGCGTGTATTTCTCCAGGGTCAACCCCCTGTCCGCCCCTGTCTTGCGAGAGGAGATTGCTGCCCTCCTGGCGAAGGGTGCAATCGAGCCGGTTCCTCCAGCCGAGATGGAGAGTGGGTTTTACAGCCCATACTTCATCGTACCCAAAAAGAGCGGTGGGTCACGGCCAATCCTAGATCTGCGCGTTTTGAACCGCTGTCTGCACAAGCTGCCGTTCAGAATGCTCACGCAGAGGCGCATTCTCCAATGCGTTCGTCCTCGGGATTGGTTTGCAGCCATAGACCTGAAGGACGCGTATTTCCATGTCTCCATTCTTCCACGCCACCGCCAATTTCTGCGGTTTGCGTTCGAGGGTCGAGCGTGGCAGTACAAGGTCCTCCCCTTCGGGCTCTCTCTGTCTCCGCGGGTCTTCACCAAACTCGCGGAGGGTGCCCTAGCGCCCCTTCGGCTCGCGGGCATTCGCATACTCAGTTATCTCGACGACTGGCTGATTTTAGCCCACTCGCGGGAGCAATTGATTGTGCACAGGGACGAGGTGCTTCGGCATCTCCGCCTACTGGGGCTTCAGGTCAACCGAGAAAAGAGCAAACTCGCCCCCGTGCAGAGGATTTCTTTTCTCGGGATGGAGCTGGACTCGATCACCATGGTAGCGCACCTCTCCGAGGAACGCGCTCGCCTGTTGCTGAACTGTCTGAGGGAGCTCGACAGCAAACTAGTGGTCCCACTGAAGTTCTTTCAGAGGCTCCTGGGGCATATGGCATCCGCAGCCGCCGTCACGCCGCTCGGGTTGCTCCATATGAGACCACTTCAGCACTGGCTTCACGATCGGGTCCCCAGACGCGCATGGCACGCGG